ACCCAAAACAATTGCCCACTGATGGCATCCTGCCAGAGGACTCTTACCACCACGCAAATACATAATAAAAACAAAAGCTAAATGTTTAAGTGACCTCTTGCGCCGTACATCTCCAGGCTATTGTTTTCAACTGAGGGTCGAAAATAACAACCTCTGATAAGAGTTCATTATAAATAATGTCTTTATTATAAATAAAGACCTGCAGATATTGTTTAGCGTCCTGAATGGCATAGCTTTTCAAGGCTGAGGTTTATGCAATGTGGGTAAATATAGGATTCATTTTTTTGGTAAATGGTCATTGTCTAATTGTCCGAGTCGGTCAGGGACGGTGCTTTTGCTCATTCAGAGTGGTGCAATCTATTGTTAGGCACTATTAATTTGAAACCGGGCACTTAGCAACACTCCACTAATGACCTGAAACTGATCCTTGAGCGGACAGCTTGTAAATCTTCCTCTGTGTGCTGTACCGCTTAGAAATGCTTAATAGTAGGGATGCACCGAAATGAAAATTCTTGGCCGAAGCCGAACAAAATGAAACAATGGGCCGAAGTCCGAATCCCGAGCACGGTTTTTCACATTTTCCCCCCATTTTGCCAATTTTTTCACCATTGCATAAATTAAATAGCCAAAATGTGCTTTTTACTGTTTCGTCGTGCTTTTCAAAGAAAAAAATAATTTACAAAACAACAATTTAAAAATATTTACTTAACACTGAACATTTTTTAACATTCTAGCAGACATTAAACACAACTTAACTTAAAATTAATAAGTTAGTAAAATAAAATTTTTTGGCCATGTTTAGACCCCCTTCTTGAATCAGGCATGTATTTTTGCCTTACAAATAAATGCAGCCTTGCTGAGTAGAAGAGACTTATTTTAATACATTAGAAAATATTATAGATCCTAGTCTGAACACTATGTGTAAATGTTACAATAAATGTTTTAATAGAGCTGTTGTAATAATTATTTTCATAATTATTTTATTTTTTTATTTTATTTTACAGAACAACAGTAAACTTACAATAATAACATTTATTAATGTTGACGGAGTTCTTGCTTTTTCTCAGCTTTTATTTTGGCAGAAACCCACAGGAAGACCTCAGTGCTTCTTTTTGTTGACAAATGATTCTCATTACGAGTTTGTTGTACGTATTGTATTGTCACATGCCTTATAAAAATTCGTAAAAATGTTACTGAGCAGCTGACGAGTAACTTTCCTCGTGCTTTGGACTTTGAACCCTACCGCCGCGAGCTCGTGCAGCACCGTTTGAATACATGCAATTCCTGCGTGTATTAGAGAAAACAACGTTCTGCAGTTTATTTAATTGTTTAAGGGCATTTTGCGATTTTAATCATCATACAGTAACCAGCAACAACCACCCTTCCTCTTCTCATCGAAGACATGCGATGCAGTACTAAACAGTCTCTCGCTGTCGGTGCTTGTAATGATTTTTGCCTCTTTCTCGGACAGCTTTAAATGCTGCCACACTGCCGTCATGTTTGCTGCATTAGCGCGTGCCTCTATTTGATCGCGTCACGTCATTGTTCGGTACAATTTATTCGGTCTTTTCGCTTATTCGGCCGAAAGAGTTTTTTTTGCTATTTTCGGCCAAATAATTTCGGTTGCCGAACATTCGGTGCATCCCTAAAAATTTATAATAATAATCATTTTTATATTAAAAGTCTTGTTCTAGAATACAATTAAATCTATGCAAAAATAAATAATGAAAACATGATTAAAATTTTCAATACAATTTTACAGATTTATTGCGACTTTCATCAAAAAAATTAATAAAAATAAGTTTCAATTGTTAGTTTTAAAAATATAAATCCTTAAGAAATAAAGTGCTTGTAGTTGAAGAAACACCCATAGACAGTCTTTTGCACATTATTTTGAATCGGTCGGCGCCTGTATTTTCTGATACTGCTGATAGTATGAAATATTTAACAGTCTTTCCAAACACTCGTTTGCTGGTTTACTGTACGGTGCAATCGAGTTTCTGTACTCGTTGGTGAGCTTGCAGTCTGAATTGAAGGTGATAAGAGAAAAAAGATTGGTCGGCACAAGATAATACAAGGGCAATAATTCCTAATATTTTTCTGTTGTGTGATATTAGCTGGCTACATGCACAACCGTTTGTGACCATTTGTAAAACTTCAGAATTTAGAGTTTGAACTGTAAAATACTCACCTTCACCAGGAAAAACGACACTCCGTATGTGCGTAGGGACCTGGCAAGCTTCACATACTTCACTTTTGCCTCGATCTCCATCATCTCGCCACAGGTTTTGTGATCCTGGCGAGGAGATTAAGATATGAACACTTCTCTGCCTTTGTGGGATTTGAACCAACAACCTTTTGTTTCAAGTCAGCTGTGTCTCTTTGCGTTCAGGTTTTAATTCACAATGGAAAGCTATACATAAACGTCTGTTTTCATCATTATAAGTGAATGTTTTGCCTAGGTGGGCCTTCTAAGCAAAATAAATAGATCCAGAAAACAGTAAGCTGAATAAATTGTTAAAACCAATATGTGTTAAAATCTAGCATAGAAAGTAGCAAGTTTTAAATGCATCAAATGTTTGAATGTTTTTTTTTTTTTATTCTGATTTTATTTCAATTTTTTTTTTGTATAAAATCAAATTTTGATATTAACTTGATGTTTAAAATTAGGGGGGGGAAACACAAATCAGAGTATAAAACGGCATTTAGGTTGTACTTAGACATGTTCCAAATATTAATAATAGGATAAAAAAAAATCCAAACAGAAAATAAAACTGCTCATCTAATATTTAGCTTGACCTACTGCAATCCACATTTACTCATAGGTTAAGCCCCAAACTTTTTTGGTTTAATCAAAAAGCTAAACATTAAATCTAAATATTTAAAATTACAATAAATAAATAACTTTAAAAAAAAGAAAAGAAAAAAAGAATCAAATAACAGACTTGCTAAAAAAATATGAAACATTTTATGTTAAGTGACCAACATCAGAGAACCCTGAAACATGTGAATGTGTCATTAATTGAAATATTAACTTAAAAATCATAGGTGGTACTTTAAGAAAACATTTGAAGTCAAAGAGGTTCGGCTGCCAAAAATACGTTCAGGAATCCCTGTTAAATGGAAAAGCGCTTCGAGATTATTCTTTAAAAATTCTCCTTTTGAGCTCCAAAGAATAAAATAAGAGCATATGAGATTGAAACAAAATGAGGGCAAATAAACACTGACAAAACTATATTTTTTAGGGGAACTATCCCTTTAAGATGTTTCAATAACACTGAGTGCAGTCTAATATTACAGACGGCCTGAAGCCGCTATGGAGGCTGACAGTCCATCTGTTCAAGTGTCTCCTGATATACACCTGAGTATAGCTCAGTTTAAAAGCTGAAAGGGTGAGTCTTACAGAAACGTTTTAGTGTCATGCTCGCCGCCACCAAGTGAGCATCTACAAAGCAAGTGGCGCCTATTTGCAGAGCAAAGTTTGTGAGTTTTCAATCTGGATGAAGTAATTAAAAGTGAAAAACTTGTTTGTGAGAGTGTATACTTGGCCGAGATTGTGAGGTCATGGAAGTTTTAGATCATCATAAACAAGTCCGCCCTCAGGACATCCACCAATCATCTCGCATCGCTCCCAGATGACATCAACATGGTAACAGTAGCAGATACAGTCAGTGAGGGTTTATGGGAACACATCATGACAAACTGAGATATGATGCGGTCACGCCCCCAGCGCGGAGCAGAGAAATCCCCTTCAGCCTGCCAAACACTCTTGAGCGCATACATGTGCAACAGTCTGTGTGTGTGTGAGCTGCGCTCTTCTGTTTCTCAAAGTATGTGGGTGTGTGTGGCACCGAGTCAGAGAATTTCACGCGGGCGTGTGTGTTTACTACAGAGGAAGAGAGAGACAGAGGGAGACTGAGGAAAGGGAGGAGAAGTGTTACAGTCTATGTGTGCATGTGTGGTGACTCGCGTGCACTTTTTCACCAGCATGAACACACAAAAAAACCTCACTGTATCCATCACTTACAAAAAACAGTTCCATGGTATTGTTTAAAATACCTTAGAGTAACATGTAAATACCACGAATGTACAAGAATTTAGTAATAGTAGCATCATGGTAATACCATTTTTGGACAAATACTATGATATTCTTGTTTTTTGTTTGGGACTGTGTACCATGGTAATACCATGTTTCTTGACATGGTACCATGGCAGAACCAAGTTGCAAGAATATGATAAAGTACCACAGTATTACCATGTTTTTGAATGTATCGGGGTAATACAATGGAACTCTCAAGTAGAAATGTAAATACCATGTTTTTGGACATTATGGGAATGGGTAATGGTATGGTAATTATTTAAAGTACATGGTAAAGGAATATAGTAATCATAGTACGGTACTATGGTGTACATAGCTGGTCTCCCAGCCTGACCAGCTAAAGAAGAGGTCAAAACCCTCTAAAACCAGCATGCTAATTCAGACCAGGCTGGAAGACCAGCCAACTGGCTGAAGCTGGTCTTAGCTCCCAGATAGTGCAGGTACGTCTGCAAGATGTCTGTTAAAGATCGCTTCATCTGGAAAGCATCTGCTGTGTACAGACATCTGATAGACGTCTTTAAGATGTCAGTTTTACATGCATTCTAAATCATAAACATCTTAAAGACATTTTCTAAACATATATTTAACATCTGATAGGAAACGTCTAATAGATGCATTGCAGATGAGCAAAAAAAAAAAACATCTTGCAGATGTCAAATAGATGTCTCCGTGATGTACATGTGCTATCAGGGCTGCTTTTTCACCCCCAGCAGGGATGGTATACAAATACAGTAATCAAAAAAGTACAAAAGTATGATGTTATAAAATTTCAAGGGATAATTTCAATAGTGTCTTTAATTTTATTGTCTGTGTTTTAATGCTAGCTACAAGAAGTCATGAACAGACATTAGCATAGCTTCAGGAAGTGAAAAAAAGGCGCTTCATTAATTGTGACAATTATTTTTACTGTGCTAAACTAACCATCTAAATGAACGTGTTATTTTTCTCAGTGCTATTATTTTCATTGCATCATGCTGGTTAGCTCCGCCCACAATTTACCAAGTTACCACACAGATACATACCAAACATCAAATATCCCACATCCATTGTAATCTGAAAAAACTATGAAATACCCAAAAAGTGCCTAAACAGAACAAAGTGTAAAAACATGTAAACTATGCATGATGCAATAAAATATCAAACAACAAACCCCATAGTTTCCTTGCAAAAATATGTATCACTTGTGCTTATACACATTTTATTTTAACAAGTGGTTAAAAAAAACCTAGCATAGAAATTAAAAAACAAACAAACTGGTGCTTCAATAATTGCGCTAATTATCTTTATCGTGTTAAACTAACCACCAAAATATGTTCCATCATGCTGTTTAGCTTCGCCCCCAATCACACCTCATTGGTACAAATTCCTACACAGACACTTATGATTTTGATTCTCTGTGCTTTCTGGCATTTCACATTCATTGTGATCTGAAAAACTACGCAATACTCTAAAAAGTGCCTAATTAGGAAGAGATGTGAGGGAAAAGTAATCCATACTGCCTAAGGCTGAGGAAAAGGCAATCGACAAATCAGCAGCTGTGAAGATAATGCACATTGCCTTCAGGGCTGACAAATAATTCATTCATAAGAGCTATGTCACTATTTCACTGCTTTCATAAATCTAAAATGACAACATCTAAACAACCTAAATGTCTGAGCGATAGTGGCTCTGAGAAATTAATTAATAGTTAGAGCAGGTGGTGACGAAGACGTTTTGGCAAACTGGTGCAATACAGTTAAACCAGCCAAACAGACAGATAGAGGACAGACAGAATGTCAGTAAAAGAGAATGACAACAAATCGAGGAAAATTATAATTGTTGAAATAGCTGAAAACATAATTATCAATAATTATGCAGGGCATCAGGGTGAAGTACTTCCAGGTCAAGAATCTGTCACTCTAAAACTCATTAGCCAATGAGAAGAGAACCCTTCCCTGCAAGCCCTGCCCACGCTCTACTCTACTCTACTCTACTCTACTCTACTCTACTCTACTCTACTCTACTCTACTCTACTCTACTCTACTCTACTCTACTCTACTCTACTCTACTCTACTCTACTCTACTCTACTCTACTCTACTCTACTCTACTCTACTCTACTCTACTCTACTCTACTCTACTCTACTCTACTCTACTCTACTCTACTCTACTCTACTCTACAAACATAATGTTAGCTCAAAAAAAAAAAAATTACGCAACAGTTTGCATCAGAAACTATGCTGAGTTAGAAGAACTTAATTTGTAAGATAAATATATTTTTAAGTTGATGACTAAAAAAAAATTAAGTTGCTCCAACTAATGGATTTGTCAGCCTGGAACCAATTTATATGATCTTTTCTCAGTTCAAATCCACAGCTAACATAGCACATGCTAAATGTAACTTGTCTACTCTTCAGCACAATGATAACCACAAAAATGTACGTCAACATAACAATGACTCTTTTAAATGTCAAACATAACAGCATTAAACACTAATAGGTCTTTCCCTTCACTAAAAAACACATAAAATATAATTTAATTTCAACATTTATTCTCCTTATCCAGTCCTATGCAAAGCATGATGAGAACAAGAAATCCACTACACAATTTCCAAAGTTAACAAGAAAATTCTATTGAGTTACAACAACTTAATAAAAAAAAAATTTAATTAAGACAGAAACTTGTTTAAATTAAGCACAATATTACGTTAATGTAATGATCAACACTATTATGTCAACTGAACTCAACAAAGGTTTAATTAAATTATTAAATTAGAATTTTTAACTTGCAACCATGCATTTATTTAAGTTGTGGTAACAGGTCCCCTGAATCGTTTTTTTTTTTTTTAGAGTGATTCTATTCTGTTCTAACCTGCCATGATGGACAAAAGGACTGCATGACAAGACATTTTGATGATTGCTTGGTTTCTATTTGTTAAGTCATGACGACTAGCTCCCCCCACAGTGAAATATCATTGGTCAAAAAACCTGTTCCATATAACTGTATGTTTAATATAAAATATGGTCTGATTGGCTGTGATCTTGTTGTTTTGTGACGTATTATGCTTTTTGGTGAAAACATCTAGTCAGAATATGGTCTGAAATAGAAAAAGAGAGCAAAAAAGTGACAAAAACTATCTTTTACCTGTACGTAGAGCAGGTTGAGCTGGACAGGATCACGAGAGTCTACATTCTGGTCAGAATAGAAGAACTTCCTTCGTAGAAGTAGTATCTCGCTCTCCTCTACGCCCTGCTCCCGAAACGTCCAACTGTGGTCCAACCAGTTCACTATGAATGAAACATGTTAGCATTAGCAACCAAATACATTTTTTTTAATCATGTGTATTAACACCACAGTTCAAATCCAGTGAGTAAATACGAAGGGGGTTTATGACACCAGTTATTATATCATTTAAATATTTGGATTGTGTAAAGTTTCAAGCCTGTATAAGAATCTCTCAGTGTGTGTAAATCTGGCGGAGTGTTTTGTTTGCTAATGTTTTATTTTCACAGTTGCCAGGAGTCTCACAATCATCATCTGTGTGAAGTTTGGCTTTCAGCTTCTCCATCTTCCTCTCGTCTCGCAGGAGGGTTCTGTCTTTCTTCAGCGTTCCCATTCCATCCTCACGTTTCTCCTCCACCTGCTCTTGGATCAGTGAGTACTCCTCATAATTAGTGATTCCTGTGGAGCACGAGATAATCAGCACTCTCTATCAGACAGTCTTACAATCTCTCCAGCACAGGTTTTGTGGGAAACTAAATAAATATCATTCAGCCAACAGGAATTGGAAATCGTACAGGATTGTAAATCGTTCAGGAAAATGAAAAGAAATTAATTAAAAATATAAGGGAATTAGGAGGCTAATGCTTATCCATCCACATTGTCACTTAAACTGGACATTTAAACAGAAAAAGACCATGTAAAGTCATATTTTTCATGTGCTGTTTAAGAGTCATATATCCAATAATGGACATAATGAGAACAAAATAAAATATATTTTGTTTATTTGCTACTAGTGGTGTACTGATATTACAAATCTGGCACATACCGATAAATGGTGAATATTAAAATTGTATGCTATTTTGTCTCAATAACAAACACTAACACTAAAATCGATCATTTAAAATACTACAAGTGAATTTAGGCATCACAACATTATAAATGTACAGTATGAAAAAAGTATATTCACTTTGATATTTGCTAAAGATTACATAATTAAGTATGCTTTTAAAATGTTTTTAAAGATTTAAGTTTAAATGCTCGAAATGTGAAAATAGAGAAAATTAACATACGCAAATAAGCATCATCCGCTGGAACGCCACTCTCTCGTGAACGTGCGTAGGACAGTTAACGGAAGCTAGAGATTGCGGTTTATAAACTTTAGAATATGGATATTTTTCTTACACAAATGCATCGCATCGCTTCAGAAGGCCTTTATTAAACCCCCCCGGAGTCATGTGGAGCACTTTTTATGATGAATTGATGCACTTTATTGGACTTCAAAATCTCAAAAGCCATTCACTGCCATTATAAAGCTTGGAAGAGCCAGGACATTTTTTAATATAACTCCGATTTTATTTGTCTGAAAGAAGAAAGTCATATACACCTAGGATGGCTTGAGGATGAGTAAATCATGGGGTAATTTTCATTTTTGAGTGATCTATCCCTTTAAGTTAAAGGGGTCATATGATGCGATTTAAATTTTTCCTTTCTCTTTGGAGTGTTACAAGTTCTTGGTGCATAAAGAAGATCTGTAAAGTTGCAAAGACTAAAGTCACAATTCCAAAAAGATATTCTTTATAAAAGTTAAGAGTCAGCCACGCCTACCTAAAATGGCTTGTTCTAACACGCCCCCACATCCCTACGTCACTATCTGGGAAGATTTGCATAACGCTGCCCAAATGTTCACGCAAAGAAAGAAGGCGTAACTTTTATTCTCGCTGTAGTATTGTTGCCGCCGCCGCCGCCATGTCGTGAAGGTGCTGTGTGCTTCGTTGTGAAAGCGGCTGGTCGCTGAGGAAATGCTTCAACTTCGCGCTGTCGATCGCTGGATCAGCTTTCACCGTGGAGGAAGCGGAGTCCAGCCCGGGGTCGTCACATGTGGTTGCCGCAGGCATCACAATATGGTAAGGGACGTAACATTTACGTCACACGCTTGAGGAATTCGGCCAATCACAACGCACTGGATAGCTGGCCAATCACAGCATACCTCGCTTTTTCAGACCGATGAGCTTTGTAAAAATCGCCGCGTTTCAGAAAGGCGGGGCATAGAGGAGAAACAATAATGTACAGTATGTGGAAAATAATGTGTTTTTTGAATCTTAAACCGCATAAACACATTTCATTACACCAAATACACAAAATAATGTTCTTTTTAGCAGCATCATATGACCCCTTTAAGTTAAGGTACTGTTACTGTACACTGCATTTTTTTTTAAACATTCATTGTAGCAGCTGTACTTTACAAGCCCAATATTTCTGCCAAACTTGACAGGATAAAATAATTACCCACCTATCCTACTGCAGATGGTGACCAACAGCTCCCCTACTGTTTTGGAGTCATCCACCATTATGGTTTTGATTGCTCCATCCAGCATTTTGATCTTCTGAGGTCTCTGTTTTTTCTTGTACTCCAGGATGTCCTGTACAAGACGAGAACAAATGCTGAAATGATGCTTAGAATCACAATGGAAATAAAAATTACGAAAGTCTGAAGAGAATACAGATAAGTCTATTAATGTGTTTTACCCCATTCCGCAGCATGTAGTAATCAAGGGTGCGCCCTGATTCCAACCAGATTCCTTTCCTGGGGTCATCATCGGACAGGAAGAGCCCGTAATCTGATGCTGCAATCATTTTTACATAATTAAAACAACATCTCGCCCCATGGAAGTAGACACTAAATCAAAGAGATCTGGTTACGTCTACAAATATGGTCATAATAAATATCAGACTCTTCATTAAACCACAAAGCCATTTGTCTTTGATCCTAAAAAAAACTATTGACATTTATAAGATGAGTCCAATTCATTGCGGCCATCGTGGGAAGCAATCATGTGCGTCGCACGGGACAACAGTCATATAACTGTAGCTGGCCGTATAATGAATGTACACAGAGTGGCGGAGCTGCAGACTCATCCCGAAGTGATGACTCCTGTTGAGCTGTTACAAGTCCATTTCGCAAACTCCAGTGAGCAGAGAGCATCAATGCTTGACTTTGTGGGGATTTGATGACTTGAGTGGAGATGGAAAGAGAGAGAGAGAGCACTTATCCATCAGACTCACTCTGAAGCAGAACTGGCCATCAGCGGAGGCTGCACATAGCATAACACTTTTGACATGACTGATACAGAAACATCTACTGATGTGAAGAAGCTGGTATAAAGATTTAACCCGAATCTAAACTTCTGTCAAGCTCTGTAGATTTTTACAAAATTTAGAACAAACATAAAAGTTCCCCCTGCCCCTAGTGTGTTTAAAGGGATAGTTCACCCAAAAATGAAAATTCTGTCATTATTTACTCACACTCATGTTGTTCCAAACCCATAAGACTGCGGCACGCGTCTGACACAGAACAGCATACGCTGTTTGCATTCAGTGGATACTCTCTAAAATGTCTCTACAGGGTGACGCAGAGGAGACAAATTGTTGAATAAAGTCGTTTTTTTTTTGCATTTAAAAAGTATACTCATTGTGTTGTAAAATCACGGTTGAACCCCTGATGTCACATGGATTATTTTACCGATCTCCTTGCTCCGTTTCTGGACCTTGATCATTAGTACATTTCTAACTGCACCCGGCAGTGGTGGATCCTGTGTAGGCAGCTGCCTAGGGCCGCTTCTTCTCTTCTTTATACTTAATTAAAAAATGTTTTAAGTGGTTTCTATAGCATGATCTTAATGACAAATATGTGGAAATATTAGCATAATTCCGCCCAAATGTGCCACGTCAGCTGTCTGATGGTATATATGGTAAAACTAACGACTACGATTATTAACTGTCTTAATATTTACTTTGAAAGCTGAAGCTTGCGATTATGGTAAGGGGCGTTACATTTCCGACGTGTGCTTGTGGTGTTCGGCCAATCACAATGCACTGGGTCAGCTGGCCAATCAGAGCAGACTGTGCTTGTCAAAGGAGGGGGCTTTGTTGAAAACGAAGCGTTTGAGAGAGGCGGGGCATAGAAAACCTACAATAATGTACAGTATTTGAAAAATAATGTGTTTTTTGAACATTAAAGCATGTCAACATATTCTGTTACACCAAATACACAAAATAATGATCTTTAAAATAGCATCATATGACCCATTTAGTGCACATTTTCACATATTTTGTCCCATCTATTGCTATGGTTATCACTATGTCAATCACTACTACTTCGAGAGCGAATCCAGCATAAATATGCGGATGTCATTCCCGAAACTTTGCAACGTGTGTGTGGCCGAAAAACAAAGTTCTACATTTTAAATGGATTATTGCCTAGAAAGCTCGCAAAGAGCACTCTTTTTTTAACCACTAAAAAACTGTCACTCTTTGTTCATCGCGATCTCACAAAGTTCTGTTATGACCAATGAATCTCACACTTATTATATTATTAACATTGTCGTGTATACACTCTGTATGTTATAATGAAAGGATTTGACTGTGATCAGCACAGAACAAAAACTGGTGTGTGTTGCAGCCTTTAGGTAAACCAGCATACATTCATGAGGATGATGAAAGGGTTTTAACTCGAGTAAAGATCAGATATCTAACAAGGATCTCATTTGTATCAGATTCTTATATGCATCAAATTTGAAGAAAATGGCTTTGTTTCTCTGAGGCAGCACAGAGGGTCAAGTACACCAGAATACAGGTAGTTCTGTCGTAAAAGACCCTGGCCATTCTGTGGCACTTCTGCTTGACAAAGTACTTTAAAAATCAGTATCAAACTAAAATAAAAATCAGAAACTCAGACGAAATAGAAAGGAGACACTCTCAAATCAAAGAAACCATTATAAATAGCCCAGGAATTACAGTCAGAGAGTCCAGCTGAAGCGATTGAGAGTTGAGTATGAAGTGAGATGTGTCTGTCTGATAGTATCTCACCACAGCCAGGAATACTTCAACAGAAGACAGAGAGAACTAACCTTTTCTTGATAATGGACTTGTGAACGAGCTTCAAATTGTCTTCTCATTCACCAAGTGTGCGTGTGCAAGCACACATACACACAATAATAAGCAGGGAGAATAGCTCTGTATAGTCCTTTCATTCCTAGTATGTCATACAAGGGACATGCAGAGGTATTGTGAACCAGATGAGACGTCCCACAGAGACCACACACACATACACTTGAAACCAAGAGTAATATTTGGCTTAATGAGGTCAATAAGTCTTTTAAAATATCATATAATTTGACCTTTTTATAAAACAGGATTAGTGTCTTATCTCCATCTTCACGATTAGTGTCTTATTAGTGTTTCAATTTGTGACTCCCCAAAAAAAAGAATGAAAAAGAAAAAGAAAATATAAAAAAAAAACTAATTACAAAAACCTTACAACTATTTTTTAAAAATGTTATTTATTTTTTTAATCACAGATACTCACATACATCACTGACCCTTGAGCTGTATTGTAAGAAGAATTGTCTAATGCACTAGCATGCACAATGCACATGATGGCAACACTATGGCTCTTATATAACACTGTCTGAGAGATGGAGGAAGAGAAAGACTGTGAGAAGGCAAGCAAAGCGGCGTACCACCTGCCCCCTTAATCTCTCATCTGCAACCTCCCAGAAGCCCTGCACTGGGCACTCCCATTTCTCCTTCTGGCCCTTCATGACAGACGCTACAAAATACCTCTCATTTCTTACCGCACCTCCAGCCAGGCTCAAAGCATTCCACCTCTCACACTGCTCAACCTCTAAAAAGCATGTGACTCTCTACATGCACTAATAATTGACTCCTGGGGGACATTAGGAAAGCAGGAATCGCCACAGTAATATAATAATTAACCAAAGCCCTGTGCACTTTTTCACAAAACTGATTGTGATAAAAAAACATTAGCGGTGGATTTAAATATGGAAAAACATGCTAATTTAAATCTAAATGGTAATAGTGCTCTGCTTGCTATGTGGTTGCTAAGCCATTGCTAGTTGGTTTCTAGGGTGATCTAGGTGGTTACATACAAGCCACTATGATAATCTGGTCCACAGATAAAAGTGCCCATTTTATCGTACACCAGGTGAAAATCATAAGTTAAATTCTGCGGATGAAGATTCCATGCATACCTAGGTCTAACAACAGGTTCAAATGTTCAAAACTTTAAGAATGATAAACTGCAAACAGATTTGATTTACTGTCTACACTGGAGAAGAAAAAGAAACAACTCGACCTCCTTCCTTAAACACCACCCCCTGGGATTGATTTAATTATAGAGACTAAAGGTGGAGTTGGGGAGGTGGAGGGATGCCAGAGGAATTGTCAAAGGGGTGGGTGAGGTAAGCAGCCATTTATATACAGTAACTCTAATGTTACGCTAGTTACATTCAAATCTTTCATTTGGAGCTCTCTAGTCTTGATGCAACTTCTACTATGAATGCAAGAATGAGACAAATCATATTTGCAGATTATTTCTCTTGATATCAATTTTATTTTATGAAGGTTATTCTAGTTTTGTCAATTCACTGAAATGAATCTGATCTGTCATTGGATTTATGCACCTAATGGAAAAGTGTGTGACTTTTTTGTCTGGCTTTTATAACAAAACAAAAGCAAATCAATACACCAAAAAACAAAAAACAAAAAAAAAAACTACTAAAGCAAATGAAACTTAAATGAAAAAATAAATAAAAATACAAATAAAATAACAAACAAATGCACTACAATAAGAAAAGAAAATTTCTGACATAAAAGGAGTAATTGTAAAAATCACTTTTCACAAATAGATAATTGTGGAAACTGTAATGATATTTCCCATCATTCTTGATGAATTTAATACATTCATTTTTTTTTAAATCAATTTTGCAGTCCTATCTTCTGCTTTTCGAGAACAGCGCATCTCCTCTGTGAACCTTACAGAAAGTTCAAGATCAGCTAATTACCCAGTCCAGCCTCAGCAACAGACATGAAATCTGACATGATGCTTTCTGAGCATCATCTGCTTTTAACGTTGGACTTTAAACCAAACAGAGCCAGGGCTTCTCCCATATTAAGTTATACTGTAGCATTTACCAAAAAAAAAAAAAGAAAAAAAAAATTGTTTCCGGATGTAGAAAAAAAGATGCATGAAAACAGGCTTGGGGATGCAGTCATAAAAACGGGCAATCCAATTGGGTTGGGGGAGAAGATGGGGCCATCTGGAAGGGATTGCAGTGCGGTGATTTGCAGTAATAACAAAAGCAAAGAGCAGAGCCCCAGAGGCCACTAGTCTTGAATTCATTACAGAGTGTGTGATCGAGTGTCTGGTTCTTCTTACCTGAACAGGTATTACAGCAGAGGAAGACTTTGATTGAGGTGTATGGGTTCATCATATTTTGCATATCTAGATTTCTGACCGTAAGTAAAGTTTGGCCCACATTGCATCTTATTTTCCACTACTATAACAATGCATAGCTAATCACCTCTATTGATCTGTTTGGGAAAAATTCATATTAACACACACTAAAAGTCAAATCAAGTCTTCATTGTATAAAAAAAATCTAACGTGACTCAAAAGTGACAGTAAAGACATTTAGAATGATACAAAAATGTATATTTCAAATAAATGCTGTTCCTTTGAACTTTATTTATAAAGTATCCTCATTTTTTTTATTGCATTTAGACAAAAATATGAAGCAGTAAAACTGTTTTCAACGTTGATGATAATAAGAAAT